TGTGTGTGTGTGTGTGTGTGTCAGATCTCCTTTGCTTTTGCCCTGCATGGATTCCAGACTAGAGACGCTCTTAGTTCCACCCTCCCTGAATTTTCAGCCACAGGTTCCACCACACGTTTTAACAAAAAGGTACACAGAGGGTTTCAGTCCCTTTTTGTTTTGTCCGTGGAAATAATCTACACCAGCACGGCTGGCTGAAGGATTCTGGGAGTTGGAGTCCACACGTCTTAAAGTTGCCAAGTTTGGGGAGCCCTGGAGTAGACCTTGAGGAGCGCAGCTCCCTCTCTCAGAAAGGCCGATTATCCCCCGGGCTCAGGGAGCTTCTCCTCGGCCCACTCTGAGCGAGCCTTCTGCCGGTTTCCCAGAGTCCTGCAAGGGGGGGGGGGGCTTCCAGAGCTGATGAAAAACACCGGCAGGAAACTATCCAGCCCCCCCTCCCAGGCAAGCCGATTCTTGCACAAGGGGGCGAGGGGTGAAACACCCCCTGAAGCTGAACCAGGGAGCCTTAACAGGATAACGGAGTTAGAAGGGATCTAGGAGGTCTTCTGCTCCAGCAGGAGACCCTCCCCCATTTCTGAGAAATAGTCCTGGCCCTCCCCAGGGTGCCCAGAGAGCCTGCTTCCCCAGATCCCCACCTCTGGTGCAGGGAAGGTTGAGGGCCGCAGGGATTTGGGACTTTGGGGGGCTGAGGAGGTTAAGGCTAGCGTTGGGAAACCGGAGGGGGGTGGATTCCTGGGGAGGGTCAGTCCCCCACAAGCAGCCTCGGTGTGTCCCCCAGAGAAGGCCTGCCCAGGGGGGCCCATGCAGAAGAGCTCGGGGGGGGGGCAGGGGGCTTCCCGGAGGGTTCTGCAGAATCTGTGGCCTTGCTGGTTGTGTGGGGAATGTGTGTGTGTGGGTGTGCCCCTGTTTTGTGCCTGGGCACCTCTCTCACCACTGCTTCTCCCTCCCTCCCTCCCTCCCCCTCTCTCTCTCTCTCTCTCTGTCTTCACAGACTTTTCAGTAGTTTAGGAGAACTAAGCACCATTTCCCAGCGCAGCTCCGGCACCACCTACACCGTGCGTCCTGGCAGCCGCTACCCTGTGACCCGTCGCACTCCCAGTCCGGTAAAGCCTGCCCTGGATAGGACAGACCCCCTGAGCACCGTCCGGCCCTACGGGCTGACCCCGCCCACCATCCTCAAATCTTCCAGCCTCTCCATCCCCCACGAACCCAAGGAGGTGCGCTTCGTGGTGCGCAGCGTCAGTGCCCGGAGCCGCTCCCCCTCCCCCTCCCCTTCCCCGGGGCCCCCCCTGCACTCCCTCCACCCCCTGCGGCCCTTCATGCAGAAGCCCCTCCAGCTCTGGAACAAGTACGACGTGGGGGACTGGCTGGAGAGCATTAACCTGGTGGAGCACAGAGACAAATTCGAGGACAACGAGATTGAGGGCACCCACCTGCCCGCCCTGACCAAGGAGGACTTTGTGGAGCTGGGGGTGACGCGGGTGGGGCACCGCATGAACATTGAGCGGGCACTCAAGCAGCTGGCAGAAAGCTGACCGTCCCGGCAGCCCCAGCTCCTCTCCCGGGGCTGCGACACTCAGGGGCAGGCGGGGCCGGTCCTGCTAGGCCAGTAGATGGGGGGGGGCCACCCGGGGCTCCTCCTGCACTGAAGGACGGGGTGGGCAGGCGCCTCCTCTCCCTCCCGCCCCACAGGCCCCCGGGCACCCTGGCACAGGCTCCCTTCCTCGGGAACAGGCATGGGCCACGGGAGCTCAGCCCCTCCCCGAGAGAGTCGCTGCTGGACAGGCGGTTCTGGGGAAGGAGAGGCCCCCCCTGTAGGAGAAGACCTCGGCGGCAGCACCTCCTGCGCACCTGGCAGGGGCCCCGGGGGAGGCCGGAGGGACCAGGGGCCGAGTGAGGAAGGGGCCCTTGCCCTAGGGTTGCCAGGCTCCAGCCGGGCCTTAACAGGACCCGTACGTTGTGGTGCTGTGGCTGCTTGCGTTGCCTTCGGCCTTGGGGAAGCCAGGGGGGCTTTTGGGGAGGGGGCTCAGTGTCCTGGCTGCAGGGAGCCTGGCTGGCCCCCAGCGACTGCTGCCGGAGGAATCCCCCGTGAAGGCCAGCAGGAGCTCCCAAGGGAGGCCGAGGGGCAGACGTGCCACCCCACTTCCTTCCCCACCCGCAGCCCCCGGCCCTCCCCCACAAGGACCCCGCGGGGCCAGGAAGAGGAGACGACCGGGAGAGGCCCCCGCGGAGAGCGGGCACTGCCGCCTGGAGGACTGTTGCCGTGCCCTGGCGCACAAGAGGGGCTGATGTCGCATGGATCGAAGCATGCTTGGGGCGCAGAGGGGGGGCAGCCCCGGTGGGGAGGGGGGGTGGCCTCGTTTGGCTTTGCGGGTGCGGGGCAGTCGAAGGGGGTCTCTTCATCTCTCTGCATCTCTGTAGGTTTGGCGATCCCAAGGAGAGGAAGCCCAACAGCAGGAAACCCCCCCCCCCTCTGTCCCACTCACTCACTTTTGCATCTTTTAAATCAGCTATATATTTGAAAAGGGGGGGGGAAAGAACAAATATCTATATATCTATATCTATAGCCACCTTGTTTAGTTAACGGTTGACTGAAGCTCTATCTTGCGGGGGGGGCTGGGGGCTCCTCCCTGCAAGGCTTGTGGGGGGTTTTAGTGACTGAATGAAAGAGAAGTTTTGAAGGTTCCTTTTAAATGGTCTGAATTTTAAGGGGGGGGCAGGGACAAAAAAAAGGCAACGTTGCACTGGCTTCTGGGACACGTCTGAAGTCTTCCATTCTCGCTGGACAGGCCCTGACCGGAGGAGCTGCTCCCCCCCCCCCGCTTACACACACACACACACACACACACACACACACACGGCTGAGACTCCTTCCCTTGCTGAAGCCCCTCGCCCTGCTTTCCTGGGGAGGCCAGAGAGGGGCAGGCAGGGAGGAAGCCCAACTCTTGAGCCTCCGCTCTGCCCTCTGGAAGCCAGGCAGCCTGAGCCCCACAGCTGCTGCACACAAAATGCCCCCAGAAACCGGGGGGGGGTCCCCAACATTTTGCAAAGGCCCTTGGAAGGGATGTCAGTCCTGAGGGGTTCCCAGTCTCAGATGCCCCCTGTGGCTGCCGCCTGGTCCCTCCCCTTTCCTTTAAGAGGCCAAAGAAATGGGGGGCCCTCCCTGCACCCCCAGCCTTCTGCTGTGGGGGGGGGGCTCCGCTCCCTACAGCCCTGGCCTGAAAGTGGAGGAGACCCAGCAGCCCCTTTGAAGAGGAGCCCCAGTTCATTCTCAAGGCGTCCAGAGGGGCTGCTGGGCTCTTCCTGGTCTCTTTGGCTGCCCCAAAACAGGAGGGGTCTTTCCCCACCCCTCCACCCCACCTCACCCCCGCCTGGAAGTGACTGTCCAGCCAGGCCAGAGCAGGGAGCTTCTACCCGGGTGGGACTTGGAAGGAGCCCCCCTCCCTCCCCAGGG